CGGCTTTTCTGTTCCATGTTTCATAGTAGAGGGTCTTCAGGCCGTAACGCTGGATGAACTTGGTCTGGAGCAGTGTCGCTGGTGGAGTTTTGTGACTTCTGGCTCGCTGTTCCACATTGTCAGTCCTTGGAAACTCCAGGCTCCTTGTCGTTTACTCGTTGGTTTCCATGTGGCTCTCTTGGGCTCGGCTCTGTGTCCTTTCAGTGCAGTGCTCTGCTGATCTGGTGCCACAGATTTAAAGTTACATCGGAACACCTGGTATTTGTTCTCTATTTTTTCCCTCTCACTGTTGGCTTTGCTGGGTGATGTGCGTACCTTTGGTGGTGTGTGCACACTTGGTGGTATGTGCACCGTTGGTGTGTGCACCATTGGTGGTGTGTGCACCTTCGGTAGTGTTTGCATCCTTAGTGGTGTGTGCACACCCTTGGTGTGTGCACTGTTGGTGGTGTATGCATCTTTCGTGGTGTGTGCACCCTCGGTGTGTGTACCTTGGTGGTGTGTGCACCTTTAGTGGTGTGTGCACCTTTGGTGGTACGTACACCCTTGGTGTGTGCACCCTTGGTGGTGTGTGCACTCTTGGTGTTTGCGCCCTAGGTGTGTGTACCCTTGGTGGTGGTGCACGCGCGTTGGCAAACACCGTGCTCTTGCTAGTGCTCGCGCACCTTCTTTATTCTCTTGGTAGTTGTACAAACTGGTTGTGGTGGCCAGAGAGACACACTCTTGTTGTGATGTGTGTGGGGGCGGGGGGGCTCTCTTTGGACATCAGGGAGTCTTAGCCAGCAGGAGCGGGTCTGTGACAGCAGAAGGGTTGTGATGAAGGATGGGGGTGGGGGTGGGGTCCCAAACACCAGTACCACTCAGCATCCGGGTGGCTTCAGGGAGCAAACTCTTGTCCTCACAGCTCCAAAGGCCCCTTTCCCAGTGGCTATTCCAGATAAAGTGAGAAGCCCCTGAGTTCTTGGTCCCTAATGGCTGTCCGCCTCTGCGTGGGCGTTTCTTGTCCTCCGGGATTCAGGTATTTCCCTTCTTCTCAAAGGGGAAAGGCCTCGTGCCCGAGAGACAGTGGCCAGGCCTAGTATCAGAGGGACAGTACCCTGACCTAATAGCAGGAGTAGTACTCGAGCCTAGTATCAGAGCAGTGTACCCGGGGCAGGTATCAGAGGAACAATCCCCTGGTGGGACGGGTGGGCCCTGGGGAATTGCAGGTGCGGAAGACAAGAAGTTCTTTTCAGGCTTTTGTGAGTCTTGTCTCGCTCTGTTGAAACATGAACCCCGTAATTAATTTCTGCCCCCAGCTGTGTGTTTGGAGAATGTTCTTTTCCCCTCTTCCATCAGTTTAGCAGATAAAATTGTCAGGCTTCCCTGGCCAGAGTAATCCTTGCTCCGGAGACAAAGCGCCCGGTGATTCCAGGCTGTTCCCTTTGTTTTCTCCCATTTGCCAAGTATGTCTGTCTCGAGGCGCCTCTGAGATCAGTGGGGGGTTGGGGGGTTGGCACACCCCTGCAGGCCAGGGGGAAAGAACCAGGCAGCTGCTGTGCACTGAGTCCGTGCCCCCCAAATGTGAGGGCGCCTGTACGTACCCTGGTGCCGAGGTCACAATGAGGTGAAGGTGGGGCCTTCAAGTCCAGCACCAACAAGACTTGATCCCTGGTGTCCCCTGATGTCCCTTACCAGGGCTGACCGTCCCTTCACAAAATGAAGATGTTAGGGTGGGCTGGGGTGGGCACCCAGGACGAGTTTTTCACCCACAAGGCTTTCCACTAGGGCCCCACCTGGCGGTGCTCAGGTCTGACTCTGGCTCTGTGCTCGGGTCACTCTGCGCAGGGCTGGGTCTGGGACCTGGCTCAGTCCTGAGCCAGGCTGCCCTGCATCCTTCTGCCCCATGCAATACTGTTACCTCAGTGCCAGCCACTGTCTCCGATGGTGCAACTCACTCGCTGCCTGCCCCTGCCCCGGCCTCTAGTTTCCTGTGATCTGAGCACCTTGGTCCTCGCAGCCACTGTGACCTGCTGGTATCTGCCCCCCTTTCTGTACAAGTGACTGGGCCGTGGCAAAGTTATCTGAGGCATTCAGCTTCGGAAAGTAGCCCTTCCATCTTTTCTTGGATTTTGTTTTCATCTGGGGGGCCACACCCAGTGATGCTCAGGGCTGACTCCTGGCTCTGTGCTCAGGGATCACTCCTGGCGGGGCTCAGGGGACCTCATGGGATGCCCAGGACCAAACCCGAGTCAGCTGCAGGGAAGGCAAACACCCTTTTCCCTTTTTGCAATGAACAAATGCTAGCGGGAGAAGAAGCTCTTGCTGTTGCTCCCGGAGGCGGGATTGCGGTGAGGGCGAGATCCTCGGGGCCATCTGCCCGTCAGCAGCCGTGAGCCGCTTTTCCAGTGGGAGGAGCGGGTTTCCGGCGGGCAAACCTTTGGTGTTGGTGATTGTATTTTTACTATAATTGTCCACAGTTTTTCAGTGTGGACTTCTCAGGTTTGGTGCTGGTTGTTTTTCTGAAAAAGTCAGATGTGACCATCAAGCCAGGGCTTTGGGGGTGATGCTGGGGGTTGGGGAGGGCGCAGATCTGGGGGGCCGCTTCTGATGAGCCATGGGGAAGGAGAAAGTGGGCTGAGAATTGTTCGGGGGGAACCTGACAACTTCCCTTTTGCTCTTTTCCAGTTTTTTTTTTTTTTTGTTGACACTTAGTCGAAATAGTAGTTTCAGCTCAGGCGCCGGGCCAGCCCCACGCCCTGCCAGTGTCGGCTTCCCGCTGCTCATGCCCCCTGCATCCCACCCACCCATTCACCTGTCCTGCCCTGTCGGGCAAAGGACAGGCAGCACTCAGGTCTGTCGCTGCTGCCCCTTGCTACCCCTCACTGTGTGTTTTTTTTCTTTTTGGGTCACACCCGGCATTGCACAGGGGTTACTCCTGGCTCATGCACTCAGGAATTACTCCTGGCAGTGCTCGGGGGACATTATGGGATGCTGGGAATCGAACCCGGGTTGGCCGCGTGCAAGGCAAATGCCCTACCCGCTGTGCTGTTGCTCCAGCCCCCTCACTGTGTGTCTTTATGGCTCACGTGTGACAGTCATTCTGCCTGTCCCTCGTCCTTGGACTGACTTCACTCAGACCATCCCTCTGGCTCCCCCCACGGGACTGAGAATTATGGGATTATTTCTTTCCTTAGCGCCGAGTGCTACTCCAGTGCATGGACTGACAAGTTTCTTTCCGCATTTCCCTGCTGCTTTGCACATCTTGGATTCATACTTTCACCGATCTACGCTGTACACTCACACACTTACCCACACGTGCACAAATCGTCACGCCCACGCACACATGCGTGCCTCTACTCACTGTGCATGCATGTAGCAGGTCCCTCACCCAAGCGCACACATTCACTCAGCTGTGCACACACGTCTTCTCCCACACACACAGTGTGTGATGCTCACACAGTGTGCCAGTTCACTCACCTGTGTGTGCACAGACATACCCATTTACTTGTGCACACATGCATTCATTCATTCAGCATGCACACACACACCCTCACCCCCCCCCCCCGCACATGCATGCATCTGTTCCCTCACTGGGCACCCACACACATGCATTCGTCCCCTCTCCCCTGTGCACGCACACACTCAGTCACCGGTGTCCCTGCTAGTACCCTGCAACACCGGGCCTGAGGAGCCCCGTTGCATGCTTGCACTGGGCAACAGGCTGGTGATGCTTCTTCAGGAGCACCCTCTGGCCCCCCTGAGCCCCACTAGGGATTAACCGCCCCCCCCCCCGTAAGTGTACTCATTATGCCAGGCTCTGTGGGACTAGGAATGTGAAAAATTACTACAGGTGGGTGAGAAATCAACTTCCGAGGTAGTTTTGGGTGGCCTGCAGTGCCCACTTACAGGCACCATTGTCTCGCACACAGCTGCCCACTGCTGTGCCAGTCCCCTGTCAGTAAGGCTGATGATGACGTCCCGGGGTACCGTCTTGCTGTGGGCACTTGGGCATCTGGATTCTCGCCCACTTGCTCCCATTGTGGCTGGCACACACCCCGTCTCCAGTGCTTCAGGGGGAACATTTGGACTTTGGAATGAAGGGGTCACTCTGTGCGCTTGGGGTTTGCCCAGGTGAGCCACTAGGTTTACTCCTGAGGCCCCTGAGGGGGCCGGTGCTGAGGGCAGGGTACGTGGTAAGTTCCAGAAGGGCCTTTCTTTCCTTGTTTGTGCCCTGAAAGTTCAGGCTGCCGGCCAGCGCCCAGGGCTGGCTGGGTCTGAGGGTCACTGGCCGTTGCATCACAGCCCTGCCCTGTGGAGGGGTCCCCGTCTCTCGCTGACTCAGTGGCCCTGAGATTCTCATCTGATCGTGCCTGTTTGTTCCGGTTTGAACTGATGCTTTGGGCCCACCCCCTGCTTGTGGCTAACGTAGCACAGTCTCAGAGTGTGGCCCCCAGGGGACACTCCTGAATACCCAGGCCCTGGGTCCCCGGGGCAGGTCACATAGCTGGGTGTTGCTGATGGACCCACGACCCGTCTCGTCTGAACTTGAGGTTCTTCCTAATTCCGGCCACCTGGCCTGGCCTTCTCCTCTGCTGCCAGCCCTGCGCCCACTATCCACTCTGCTGCTGTGTCTTCCCCACGCCATTCCCCCGCCCCTTCCCTGGCTGTGCTGGGGGCGGGTGCCTCCTGAGCAGTGCTACAGGGACTGCCAGGTGCGCTGGCTGGAACCAGACTCGGGTCCTTAACCCCACACCCCACGGCGGGAACGGCGGGCATGATGGGGACGGTGGGCATGGTGAGGACGTTGGAGATGGCAGGGATGGTGGGGACGGCGGGGACAATGGGCATGGCAGGTTGGTGGGGACAATGGTCGTGGTGGGCATGGCAGGGATGGGGAGCATGGCAGGTGGGTCTCCTTCATGGGCCCCAGAGACCCCACCCCGGGTGGCACAGCTGGAGCCTGAAACCCAGGAGTGCCTGAGCTGTCCCCTTGTCTTCTAGAGGAGCCGGCGGCGGGCCAGGCCAGGCCCCCGCAGGACTGGCGGGAGCGCAGGAACGCCATCCGACTGCCCAGCGAGCGCGCTGTGGAGACGTTGGTGGTGGCCGATGCTGACATGGTACGCTACCATGGCGCCGAGGCTGCCCAGCGCTTCCTGCTCACCGTTATGAACATGGTGAGTGCGCCCCTGCCAGGTCACGCTGGGAGGACATGCGAGGGCCCGGGGCAGTGCGGGGACCAGGGAACGGGTGTCCAGGCGTGGCCCGCATGGATCGCACTCACAGGATGGGGACGCGAGGGGCCAGAGTTTCCATTCAGTGCTTAAATCTGATTTTGGTTTGTTTTGTTTACATTTTGTTTTGTTGTCTTTTGTTGGGGGGGAGGGACTCCCAAGCAGTGCTCAGAGGGTTGTGGGGGCCAGCTTAGTGATTCTTGGCCAATCAGACTGGCAGTTGGATGCAAGGACCCTGGGATGCTGTGCTGCTTGGGGCCCTCTAGAGCTGCACCCCACAATGCCAGGGGATTGCATGGTGCTGAGGCCAGGCCTGCGCTCTAACCACTGCACTCTCTTTCTGGCCCTTGCACTATCTAGCCATGCTGAGGCCAGGCCTGCGCTCTAACCACTGCACTCTCTTTCTGGCCCTCGCACTATCTAGCCATTCTCTCTTGTGAGAGTGATCCCCAACTCGGCTAAGAAGCAGCATCCGGTGTCCCTCCGACTGTCTCCGTGTGCCCCTTTGGCTCTGCGCGGCCACTTTTGTGGCGCCATTGCCTGATTTCCCGGCTTGACTTGTCAGGGATTTTTCCCGGTTTGTGCTCTCAGCCCCTGGCTGGCTGGAGGGTGTCTATGCCGGTGGACACCTGCGCTCTGCGGAGCCCTGGGCGTCCCCAGGAATCCTGATGCTGCTCTGCTCTGGGGGCATTTTGCTTTGGGGGACGCTCAGCCTGGGAGAACCCTGCCTTCACCCCACTCACATGCCCCTGTCTCCCGCCCTGGCCCCTGCATCTGCTGGGGAATTCCAACTCACTCTGCGATTTTAATTGCCCGGGCAGTAAACAGTCATTACAGCAGCTAAGGTAGCAATCAGCCCACAGTGTTTGGGTACATTTGGGCTTTCACAGTGTGGGGGGCGGGGAGGGGGGCAGCACTGGCCCCTTCTGCTTGGCTGTACTCCGTGTTCCCCGTGGCCCCCTCCCCCCAGAGCCACCGGCTGAGAAGAGGCTCCTACATACAGGTCCCAGATCTTCCCGCCTGCAGCGTGGGGGTCTCTGCTGCTCAGTTGCATCCTGTGGGGGCTGGGCGGGAGCCCTGTCATTACCCGCCCTGGACCTGCCGACAGTCTCTGGCAGGGCCCCGGCTGTGGGCGGGAGCACCCGCAGGTGTGGTGGTGGTGGTGGTGGTGGTGTCTCCAGGCCCACCCACGCGGGCCCCTGGTCTCCCCTCTCACGCACAGCTGTGGGGGCCCTGGAGAGGCTTGACGGGGCGCTGCCCGCCCCAGCTGGGGGAGCGTAGGGCTCAATTCTGTCTTTATTCTTTGGTTTGGGGGTCACACTCGACATGACTGGGTCGGTGCTTGGGGGTCATGGCAGTGTTCAGGGGACCACGTGTGGCTGCCACACACAAGTCCTGCATCTGCGCCCCTCCCCCCTTCCCCTCCCCCCCCCCCCCCCCCCGTGCAGGTTTTCCTCACAGCTGCCCGTGTCTGGGAGGTGCGTAAGGGGCGGCCACACGGGCTGCTGGCTGGGCCGCAAGGGAAGGATGGCCCAGTGCCACTGCCCACGGGGCCTGCTGGCCAGCTCGAGGTGGGGTGGACAGCCAGGTGCCTGCCCACTGCTACTGCCCACAGGGCCTGCTGGTGGCTTGGGGGCGAGGGACAGTGTAGCTGTCATGCTGTCGCCCCTGCAGTGTCCTGCAGTGTCCCTGCCCGCCTGTCCTGCAGGGGACACGGGGCTTAGCCTTTGCATGCTGGGTGACAGGGTCAGCCTGGAACTGCAGGGATCCGTGTCGCTGGGGCGGTGGCAGGCCTATGTGGAACCCAGTGCCTCTCCCGGACCCTCCCAGGCTGCTGCTGGGGGAGGAGGGACTGGGGGACTGGGGGGCGGGGCTAGTGGGGGGAGGGGCTGCTATCTGGCTCTGCTGTCCACTCTCAACCCTGAGTTTTTTGGGGGTGTTTTGCTTTTGGTTTTTGGGTCACAGCCGGTGATGCTCAGGGCTTACTCCTGGTTCTGCACTCAGAAATCACTCCTGGCGGTGCTGGGGGCCTCTATGGGATGCTGGGGATCGAACCTGGGTTGACCATTGTGCAAGGAAAATGCCCTCCCCTCTGTGCTATTATTCCAGCCCTGAGCTCCCTGGAGGCCCCCAGTGCTCCCAGGGACCCTCTCAGCCTCTCGTGGGCGGGTTCAGAGTCTCCCTGCTCCTTTGGGTGACCCCCACTCTCTACAGGGTGACCGGTGGCTTGGGGCCAGGCCTGCAGAGCTGGTGCTGACCTCTGGGAGCAGGCAGGACCCACCTGGGCAGGACCCCACTGCAGGTTAAACAGAATAGTGGGGGTGTGCTGGGACATATTTCAAAGATGGGGTCCCTGCCCCAGGCATGTCACCCCGAAGCTGCTCACCTGTGAGCTTGGGGTGGGTGTGGGGAGGGAGGGAGACTCCAGCTCTCTGGGGGCTGCAGAGAGGCCAGGCACAGCCTGCGTCCACCTTCCAGGCACCTTCTTCTCCCTGCCCCGAGAGGGAATTATGGGGAGTGGGGCGAGGGGGAACGGCAGTAACCCCTGCAAGGACCAATCGCACTGTGGAACCGGGGGTGCTGGCCCCCAAACCCTGGGTCTGGGCCGCTGGTTTCCCCCTGTGGAGCCAGGAGAACCGAGGGGCACGGGCAGGGGTGACATCAGTGTCCCTCAGTCTCCATGTGGAACAGACCATAGGGCTGTCTTAAAGGGGACTGAGTCCCCGGCTCCCAGCCCAGCCCTCCCCCGGGTCGCACAGTGGGTGGGGGGTGCTGGGAGGACTCCCCCGTGTTTATTCCAAGCAGACTGCCCCGATGATGCTGGAATTTGTCCCTGAAGGTTGGGCCTTGGGCTCTGAGAGCAGATGCTCCTCCTCCGAGGGGGGGGGGGTCCGTGGCATGGTGGGTGGACGGCTCTGCCGTGTGACCGCCCCCCTGGGCATTGCCATCAGCCCCGCCCTCCCCTGCGCCCCCTCTCCAGCTCCTCCCTGGCCAGCCACGGAGCCCCGAGAGCAGCCCCTGCCCCCACCCTCGGCCCCGGGCTGCCAAAGAAATGGGACCGACAGCCAGGCCTGAGCGCCGGCCAGGACGCAGCCAGGGCTGGACGCCGAGACAGAATTTCCAGACGCTTGGCCGCCCTGCTCCCGGCCCAGCCAGGTGTCCCCCAGACGTGGCCGCTGCCTCGGACCTCCTGAGCAGCGGTTTCCATGGGGAACGTCAGAGCCCACAGCCGCTCTCGCGACCCCCCCCCCCCCCACACACACACGAGTGGCACCAGGTGGCCCCATCGCTGCCGTCCCAGCTGTGGCAGGGAAGTACCTTCCTGCACACGTGCAGAGACCCAAGCAAGACCCAAGTGTCCTGTGACCCCCCCCACCCCGCCCTCGAGTCACCACTAGGCTGCAGTTGCCTGCAGCTCCTGATTGATTTTCCCACTTCCCTCCGCATGTTGGAGTCCGTCTTGTGGGCCTGAAATCCTCAGGTGTGGGAACACGCCCTGCCCCCGCACCATCCCCTCTGTGCCTTGACCCCAGGAGAAGCCACTCTGGGGTGTGGGTGGGGGCGCTGGAAGACACGAAGTGCCCCGGAGAAGACAGGGAGCTTGCCCGTGTTCCTGCCTGGTGCCCTCGTGGGCTCATCAGTGGACAGGGCAAGAATAGTGTCCCTCCGCCTCCGTGGACGTCGCTGTGCGTGCCGGGCTGGCATCAGGCCCACCCGCGGGGTCGGGCCCGGAGCGCCCGCTGTGGTTTCCTCTCTCCTCGCTTGCTTCTCTCTCCCCGATTCTCATGTTTGGAATTGAGGGTTTTTCCAGTTTGGGCCCGATCCTAAGGCTGGATGTATTTCGGGAAAAATCTGAATCCCAGCCATTCGGGTGGGGCTGCGAAGAGCAAAAACAAGGAAAAGCTTATGTGCCTTCCCCCTCGGCACCCAGGTCTCGGGGTAGGACATGACCCTCCTGTCTGAAGAGAAGAGGGAGAGGAGAGAGACTTCTGTTCTGTTCTCACGGAGAAGCGACTTTGCAGGGGAAGGGCGGCGGGGAATACCAAAAAATGAGAACAGAACTGAACATATTTTCTGTTGCGGGCAAGAATCTGAAATGTTCCCGAAGACGTGGATGTTCTGAGTATGGCCCCTGCCGATCCCTGTGGGCTTGCAGACGCCCAGGATTCCAGCCCCGTAGATGGTGCTCACACTGGGCTTGGTGCTCAGTGCTCGTGCCTTTGCATGAGTCTCCCAGTGCCCCTGAAACCCTGACGGAACACATGAGAGAAAAGGCAGACTCGTGTGATCCCCTTGAAGAGAGCCCTGTTCTGGCGCTCCAGGACAGATGCTGTTGTCAGAGGCGGTGGCTGCGGTGGGGGCCAGGGGCCGGGGGGTCCAAAGGCCAAGTTCCAGGAACAGATCTAAGAGACCTGTTGTAAAAGTGCTCATCATGGGGTCAGAGAGAACAGCAGGTGCTGGCGCGGCACACGGCTGACCCCAGTTTGATATCTGGCACCCATAGGGCCCCCCGAGCCCTGCCAGGATGACCTCTGAGCACAGAGCTGGGAGTGGGCCCTGACACCACCAGTGTCGCCCCCAAACTCTCCAATTCCCAAGTTTTTTCTCCTCCTAAGAGCACTGGGGCCCTCACTGCCCAGGGTGACTCTGTCTCCTGCTGTGGTGATCCCTGCCACCACCAGCGATTTCTGGGCAAGGTAAAGGGTGTGGACCCCTGGGCATGAGTGTCACCCTCAAGGGGCCTCACCCCAACCTAATGTGTCCCCCAGAGTCAGCAGCACAGGGCAAGCTGCGTGAGCCTGGTCAGCAGAAGAGAAGAGGACAGGCAGGGAACAGGGAAAGACGAGGCAAGAAACGTCAAACAGTGTCAGGTGCTGGGGACCGATGGGGCGCACTGCCACGGTTTCCTTGTGTCCTTGGGTGCGGTTTGGGGGGTCACGCCCAGTGATGCTCAGGGGGTGTTCCCACCCTGCACTCGGGGATCACTCTGGCCTGCTCGAGGTGGTCCCAGGGCTTGAACCGGGCACTCCTATAGCCGGTCACCCCGTGCCTGCCTGAAAGGACCTGGTGGTTTGCGTGTCCAGCCACAGCAAGGCGAGGGAGAGTGAAGCCAGGACAGAGAGAAGCCCTGAGTCCTCGGTCTGTGCTGCCCCCTCCCCTGAAGGCCCCTGACCCCCTCCGGGGCCTTGCTCGGCTCTTGGCACATCTGCGTGGCTGTGGTGTGAGAGGTTCCGGGGCCTGAACTCAGGGCCTGCGTCATCATGCCCAGCACTGACCCGACTGTGCTGCTGTGTCATGACTGTCCTCATCACCTCAGCACTTTCCGCTCTCGCCTGCTCAGGTTTACAATATGTTCCAGCATCAGAGCCTCGGGGTCAGGGTCAGCATTCGTGTCACCAAGCTCGTCCTGCTACGGGAGCGCCCCGTGAGTACCTGAGCCCTCAGTTCCTGTGAGTACCCACCCTGAACCCTCAGTACCCGTGAGTACCAACCCTGAACCCTCAGTACCCCTGAGTATCCAAGCCCTCAGTACCTGTGAGTATCCACACCGAACCCTCAGTACCCCTGAGTACCTATACTGAACCCTCAGTACGCCATGAGTACCCAAACCCTAAGTACCCGTGAGTACCCACCCTGAACCCTTAGTACCCGTGAGTACCCAAGCCCTCAGTGCCCGTGATTATCTGAACCCTCAGTACCCATGAGTACCCAAGCCAAACCCTCAGTACCCAAGAGTACTCACCCCAAACCTCAGTACCTTTTGAGTACCCACCCCAAACCCTCAGTAGTCCATAAGTACCTACCCAGAACCCCCTCAGTACCCCATGAGTACCCACCCCGAACCCTCAATACCTGTGAGCACCCACCTGGAACCCCCTCAGTACTCCATGAGTACACCATCCTGTATTCCCTCAGTACTCCACAAGTACCCTCCCTGAACCCCCTTAGTGCCCCATGATTACCCACCCTGTATCCCCTCAGTGCCCCTTGAATACCCACCTGGCCCCCTCAGTGCCCACAGTACCGGCCCAGTGGCACTGATTAGTGGTGGTTGAGGCCCGTGGACTCAGGGTCCCTGCTGAGGGGGACTCCACGGATTGTGCCCACTCGACAGTGACCTGAGGACAGGGTCAGGGTTAGCGCACCTGGTCTGTGCACCAGGACCTCTGGGGGCAATCTGGGACCCCGAGTATGGCCTGGGCAGGTCTAGAGGTCCCTGATGCAGCCAACATCCCTGGCGTGACCCAGGTGGCCCCAGCTCTGCAGGCCCAAGCAGAACCTATCGTCAGACCCTCCCATTGAGGTCAGCTGAGAACTGCCAGAGGGGTCCCTGGACTCCCTGAGCACTGCTTTGGGAGTCTCCCCCAAAATAAGCGACTCTGAGCCGAACAGTGAGCGGGAGAATGAGGCATCTGCCCTGGGCTGGGGGCGAGCTCCATAGCCCACGGGACAGTTTGTTCCTTGGAGAACGCGGTCAGGTTGGAGGGCGCCGTAGGCCTGAACCCACCTGGGGGGGAGGGCGTCCCTGTGGGGTGGTCACCCAAGGGAGCCTCTGTGGCTGGCATTAGCCTGGGTTTCTGCGCCCCCTCACTGGTCCCCGCCTCCTTCCAGGCCAGGCTGTCCATCGGGCACCATGGGGAGCGGTCACTGGACAGCTTCTGCCAGTGGCAGAATGAGGAGTACGGGCGTGCCCGCTACCTGGGCACCAACCAGGTTCCCGGGGGCAGGGATGATGCGCCCCCCGTGGATGCGGCCGTGTTTGTGACCAGGTAAGGCGGCCAGGAGGATTCAGCAGATGGGGGTTCTGCCCTCACAAGCCGTATGCGGGGTCCCTGGGGGCAGCCCCGTCTGCTGCCTGGGACCCGGGTGTGTGAGCCCAGAGAGGGACGGGAACCTGGGACATTTGCCCAGGTGTCAGGCCCGAGACGGTGCCTCGGTGGGGGAGCTTTGGGGGGCTGAGGCCCTCGCAGCTGTGCCCTGTTCAGGTATGGGCACTGCAGGTGGCCCCGAGTGTCCCCCTGAGAGGAGCCCCGCGCCCACCTTGTCAGCCCACATCATACCAGGGCCCTGCCGTGTCCCCAGGAGCCGTCCCAGGGACACCCAGCAGCATAGTTGGGCTGCAGGATAACCCTGCCCTTTGAGGCTCCTGATGACACTTGTCTGGTTGGGCTCAGGCCCCGCCCCCACCTCTGCTCCAGAGCCCTGTGTGGGGCCAGAGTCGGGGCGAGGGGCCTGGCAGGCTCCTCTGGGCACCACAGGCCGTGGCCTTCCGCTTGCTATGCTCAGTGCAGCCTGAGCCCTGGCCGAGGTGCCCAAGGGGCTGTGGGGGCGAGGGTGCCCGTGTCACAGGTGCTCCAGCTCCTGGCTGCAGCAGGGAAGAGTTTGTGCTGTGCTTAGGCCTGTGCTCACACAGACCATGGCCCGGGGAACTGACCCCAGCCTCGTGCTTGCCAGGCGGGTGCTGAGCCCGAGCACCCAAGAGCCCGCAGGAGGGCAAGGTGTCCAGGTGGGCATCTCCTTCCTGGGGGGGGGGGGGGTCCTGCTGGCGCTGACTTGGCATTTCTTGCTGCTTTTTTTTCAGGACCGATTTCTGCGTCCACAAGGATGAGCCCTGTGACACTGTGGGTGAGTCTGAAGGCAGAGGCCCCCCTGGCCGCGCCATGCGCGTGGTCCCTGAAGGGCTGGCTAGGAGCACGAGTGTGGGAGAGCCCAGCAGGAGCAGTGGGGGGTGGGGCGCCTGCCCCTCTGCCCCTCGGGGAGCCCAGGCTGTGCTGTGTCAGAGCAGCCCCTACTCCTCGCCCTCTGCCCACCCGCCCGGGCCGGGCCGCAGTCCAGTCAGCGCCCAGTGACTCCCTCCTCCCCTCCTCCCCTCTTCCCCTCCTCCTTACTCCCTTCCCTCCCTCCCCCTCCCCTCTTCTCCCTCCTCTCCCCTTCTTTCTCTCCTTCCTCCCTCCCCTCCTCTCCCTCCTCTCCTCTTAACTCCGCTCCTCCGTCCTCCCCACAGTCCTCCCATCCCCTCCTCCTCCCTTCCTTTCTTCCTCCCTTCCTCTCCCTCCGCCTTCCTCCCTACTCTCTCCCTACCCTCCCTTCCTCCTTCCCTTCGTCCCTCCCTGCCTTCCTCCCTTCTCTTCCTCCTCCCTCCCCTCCCTCCCCACCCTCCTCCATTCCTTCCTCCCGCACTCCCCTCCTCCCCTCCTCCCTCTCCATCTCCTCCCTCCCTTCCTCCTTTATCTCATCAGCAGGGGTGACCTCTCCCTATGTCCTGGGTTCTTGGGCCCTCTTGCATGTTGACCCTTCCCACGAGGTCCCACCCCTGCTTCACTGTCTCCCTGCTGCTGGCACCCGGGACAGGGTCAGGGGGCACTGGGGGACACATTCCTGCTGAGGGGAGGGGCGAGACATGCCTGTCTCTGCTCATTTAAACCATGTTTGGGTTTTCTCCCTTCGAAGTTTAGAAGTTCATAGGGAGGAGAGGCTGGGGACGGGTGGCCTGGATGCTGCAATGTGGGGGTGAACCTGGGGCCTGTGTCATCCCCTAAATGCCCTGAGAAATTAGGGGACCCCCCCACCCCAGAACTTTAGGGAATAAGTGCCGTGGAGGCCCCACAGTTCCACAGAGTTGCCAGCGGCGTCTCCTCTTGGGCCACTTCCACGGAGACCACTGGACACACTGTCCCTGTTCCCAGGTGTTCGGGGCCCCCAGGGCTGCCTTCCGCCATGCCTGCAAGGCTTTGGGGCGCCAGCTCGCAACCTTGCACCCAAGCCATAGGTGAAGGCTGAGGAGTGTCGAAGTTGGTGTCCTGTGGTGGGTGGTCCCTCACGTGAGGGACGCCCAGATTAAGCCCACTGCTGCAGCGTCTCTGATCGCTGCTCCGGGCTCAGCGTGACGCAGCCCATGGGTGCACTTCCTGCCGCCACCCGAGTTGAGCTCGAGGCCACTCCCGTGGGCATCCTGTGCTGAGAAGTGTCTGACTCCAGCTCTGGCGCCCGCCCGGCTTTGCACATGGCCCACCCCAATCTGCAGCGCCCCCAGAGCAAGCACTGCTCATCCCACTGACCCGACGCCTCTGAGGGTGGCTTTTGTCCTCCATCCCGTCCCTCCCTGGAACTGACCCATGTCCTGCTCCACCGCGGGGCCCTTCCCTCTCTGGGACCGTGATGGTGGAGGGTGTTCTCATACCTGGGGGCGCGCCATGGAGACGGCAGAAGCGTCTGCCCTCGTCCTCCTCTCTCTGCAGCTGCTGTGGTCACTGTGCCAAACAGGACCAGGGTGCTGGGGGCGGGGGCAGGGTGGAGGTGGCCCGGCCCTCTCCACCTTGGCTGAGCTGCCTGTCACATGGCGGCTTGGGGCCCCTGAGTGGGTGCTTCTGCCACAGAAGCTCAGCCGCCACGGCAGACACACATTCTGAAATCAAGTAGGTGCTCCTGGGGCTGTGTCTCAGCTGAGGAGCTGCTTGAGCCCCCGTGTCACTCGCTCCTCCCTCTGGGACCTGTTTGTGCGTGGGGCAGGACAGCCCATGTCACTCGCTTGTCCTCAGCCCAGTGTGTGTGGGGCAGGGGCAGCTCGCTGGCTTCGTGCCCACAGCCCTGACCTACGTGGTGGGGGCATCCCGTGATCCCGTGGAATCTGCCTGCCGGTGGGCGGGGGACTGGCGGCTTGTCCTAAAGCCCCCTGCCCTCCGCCTCCCGCCTTTGCTTCCTCGCATCCTCTGTTCTCGCCTGCCAGACACTGTCCATCCACCCTTGCCCATTGGGTCCACTGCGACCTGCCTGGTCCAAAGCTCCTGGTCAGGTGCACAGAACAGGCTCCCCGACCCCCACGCCAGGCAGCCCCTGGGGGGGTCTGCAGAGAAGAGCAGGCCTGGGGCCGGGAGGAGGGTCCAGAGTCCAGTGTGTGCCTGCGGCCTGGGTCCATCCCAGGCTCCGCGGGGTCTCCTGAATGGGAGTTGGGGGAGCCCAGAGTGCAACCAGGTGTGAACCCCAAACAACAGAAACACACAGAAGAGGCGTGGGAGTCACACCGAGGCATGTGTCCTTCCCCGACTCCCAGAGCCCCTGGGGGCGCCCAGGCCTTGCAGGGAGGTGGGGGTGTCGGTGCCAGTCCCGGGCCTTCCCGCCCACAGAGCTCTGTGAACAGCCCTGGCCCGGCGTCCCTGGTCCAGCCTGGCCCTCTCCTCAACTCCTTCCTAGCCCTGTTTCGTCATGGTCCCATGGAGAGAGAGTGGGACTTGGCTCTCAGGCCGCTGCAGCTGTCTCCCAGCTTTAATCTTGGGACCCCGCAAGGCACCCGAGAGAGAACCAGGCAGAGTCTGATGTGGGCAGCGCCGGGCGGGCCCGTGGGGCTCAGAGGGAGAAAATGTCAGGCCCCGTCCCACCTTGTCCTGTGATGCAGACCAGTCCGGAGGGCTCAGCAGCCAGAAAGGCAGGAAGCTGTGGACAGCAGGGCCCCGCGGGACGCAGCAGAGGCCCGGTTTTTAGGAAAAGCCCGTCCCTGACCAGCTGCAAGATTCCCAGCACCGCCTGCCCTCCTGAGAAAGCCCATGGCAGGCTGGGAAATGGCTCCGGGTGTGAGGTCAGCTCTGGACAAAGCCCTTTGGGGATTCCCAGCTGCCAAGGCGCTTTCCAGAACTCAGCTTTGGCAGCGTGGTCTAGAGCGGCGGAGGGAAGAGGGCCGGGGTCCCTGGGAGAGGGGTCGTCCAGGCGGGGCTGCCATAGACACTGCGCAGGGCAGGGCAGGGCTGCCGGCTTTGTTTGCGGGAGACGGGGGGCCGGATCCCCTCCCGCACAGCCCCTGCTCTGCCAGGAGAGAATCTGGAGCCCTGAGCACCAAACCTGCTTCCAGAACAGGACAAAGAGAAGAGTGCCAGAGAGCTGCGGTTCAGGAAGTAGGGGCTGTGGGCTCGCAGGCGGGTGTCTGGGGCGATGCCAGCTCACCTGGCATGACTGCAGAGGGTTGAGGAAGAAGCAGGGCGCGGCAGCCACGCAAAGGGCCCCCGGGTGCTGCTGTATCCGGGGATGCCCCGTTGACACCCTAAAGTGAGACGAACACGACAGGCTGGGGTTCCCAGCTCAACACCCCCCTATCCAAAGCCTCTAAATCCTGCCGTGAGAGTTTTTATGGGAAAAACTGTTTGGGAGGATTTGCTCCCCCGGAGCCCGGGCCACGCTGGGCAAGAGCTTCTGCCTGGAAATTCCTTTCAGTGCCAATAGTTCTCCGCCCTAGAACGGAAGGTCTGGGGTCCAGGGGGACGGGGAGCAGCCTTCTGGGGATGACCCTGGCACAGTCGCACGGGCCTCCCTCCCGCCAGCCACCATTGTCCCCTTGCTTCTGGGGCTGGGCCGGGGGGGGGGGGGTGGGGCGGACACTGAGCTGGCCACCTCAGCGGGACATCCTGGATATGTCGGGTCCTGGGCAGAGTTCTGTGGGGGGTGTAGGTATTTTATCATCTGTTTTTGGCACCTTCCCTGCGTGAGTTTTGGTCTGGAAGAGACTTTGTCCCAGTGATCTGTTAAAAATGTAACACCAGCCACTGAGCCTATCGGAAGTGTGGACCCAGACTCTGCTGCCCATCGTTGTCCTGCCCGCCTTGGTCTGTCCTAACCTGCCCCTCCCTCCGGTTTCTCTAAGCCCACCCCCTGCTGACCACCACCACCACATCTCACGCTGGTAGGCAACGGGGGCAGTGAGTTCAGGTGTCTTCCACGGCAGAGTGTGACCGCCCCATCTCCCGGCGTGGATTCTGTGGTGTCCAGCGCTTTCTTGCTATGGTTCGGGCTCTGATGGGCTCTGGCCGTGCTGCAGTGGTGCGGGGGAATGGGCCCAAGAGGACATTTCTCCCTGGCCCTCTGGATTCCCAGACCGTGTACTAGTCCAGCAAGCCCAAGACTGCAGGCCAGAGGGCAGAGGAGAATAGCATGTACGTGTAGCACCCATGTGGTAGGCCACTAGGGCTCATCAAGCTTGGGGAGGCCGGGGCTGGGCTGAAGGAGAGGGAGCAGCCCTGTGGTCCCTCTGATCGGCCTATCCAGAGTAAAGGTCCTGCTTGGGGGTTCACGCAGGGTCAGTGCGCCCAGTTTTCACGTGTCTGGGCACTTCAGGGAGCAGTGACACCGTCAGCACACCTGCACTGGCTGCCATGGGCCTCAGCGTTCTTCTCTCCCGAGCCTGGGTGTGGGTTTGTCTCTGACGCCCTGGCTGGGGCACAGCCGGGTCGGGCCCTGCTCCCGCTGCCCCTCCTGGCTCCAGAAGCAGCGTGAGGGCCCCAGCGTGGAGCAGGCCGTGGCCTTCTCCACCCAGCCCCTGGCATGGGGGTGAGACCCAGCTCTGATGAGGTCGCCCGGGATCCCAGGAGTTGTGGGGACCCAGCGGGACTGTGGCAGGTATGTGTGGGGGGCTTCTTGAAGTTGCTTGATGCCACTTCTCCCCGCTCCCCCACTCCCCCATCCCTCCTTCCCACCCCTACCCCAGGGAGGACAGTGGTGGATAGAGCAGAGTTGTGGGGGTCAGAGGGCACCCTGGGGTCTTCCCCCTGGAATGCGGGTGCCCCAGGCAGGCAGCACAGAACAAAGGGCTTTCTGTGTCCATGCCGGAGGGGCCTCAGAACACGATGCCCTTTTCCGGCCTT